CCCCCCCCAACAAAAATCCTAGCTACGGGCCTGATAGTGGTCTGTGAGTCGTATAGGCCAGTTGTTAAGAATGATTTTAAAATGTATTAATACTGACAACTTAAGTATAGCAGGGCTGTCAACCCCCGAGATATTCAAATCTGGAGAATTGATAGGTAAGGGACATGACGTCACAGCGCGTCAAAAAGCGCGCGAAAAGATACCTTTCGTTTTGTGACATTTGATGTGATTGGTTTATTTCTGACCAATCAGATTTTCGCTTACATTACCTGCTTGCAAGAACAGTTTATGAGGAACGTTTTGATTTTGTTAGCGATGTAAAACAACGCAAACAACATAAAATAATTGGAATTTTATGGTTGTGAAAGTCGAGTCTCACAAGAAATGGTCAGCTTCGGCGATTATCCGGAAGATTTGAGACTCTAATCTGGAGACCGGGAGATACGGCCCAAAATCTGGAGACTCCCGGCTTATCCGGGAGAATTGACAGCCCTGTATAGTCAAACGACAACAGCAGCAACGAAAAGATAACTTAACAGCAACAACGACAACAGTAGCAACAACAGCAGGAGTAACAACAGCAGTAACCTGCGTAGAGGTAGCAGCACCAGCAGCAACAAACAAAAGTAACAACAGTAGCAACTTAAACAGGAACAAATAATAATAATGACAAAAATATTGAATAACAAGTCTTCAAAGAGTAACTAGAATTCGAACATTTTTTCTTTTTCTTTTTTCCCCCCTTACTCGTTCATTTTCTATTTCTTTCTTATTTTATTTTCTTGTTATTTCCAAAAATATCGGGTACCCTTTATCGAGTAAAAAAGAGTGGAAGAGTGGTACCGAATATCGATAACCGGAAATGACTGGCTTCTCTATCACGTGAACAATATTCTGTTGTCAAGATGGCCGTCGACTTGCAGAAGAATCGTAGCGAACTTCTTAAAACATGGCAAGACATCTTTGATGAGAAGTCTAGCACGAACTGGTGAGCAGATCATGTTGAATAATAACCGTCTTAGGATCCAAGCTAATTTTGATGTGTTTCTAGGGCTGTCTTTGGCTACGAAGGGAAGACAAACACATTGAAGGTTCAAGAGACTGGAGGTATGAGCACGGAAGTCAACGTTCTTATGATAAATATATTCAATAATTACACCATCTTAACCTAAATTAAAGTCATCAATGAATCTTAGGGTTGACTTTTGTAGAAATTAGTGGAGTCTTTAACCTAAAATCGATGTGGTTTACCTCTAGATATGCGAACATCCAAAGGGGTGTGACGTAGAACTGAAACTAAAGTTTCTTCCGACTACTTAAATAGTGCCTAAAGCTTTCAATCACTAAACTTATATTTAATCTTCTATTAATACTTGACATGATGGATAACGAAATAACTACTATTGCTAAATGCTTTCACTGCAACATTTGTTTTGATTTTGATTTTGATTATGTTGCATATTGAAAAAGAAGCTGCAAATAATGTTTTTTTCCTTACTTCTTATTCATTATCAGCTGTGGCATTCGCTATTTTCATTCCACATTATCGTACGTCTTGTGCCAATCTATAACCTCTTAATTAAGTAATTAGATTTTCCATTTATTTATGTTTAACTTTTTAAATTTTTGTTCGAATCATACGTTTAGTTATTGTAAGTTCTTAAGATTTTTGTGATGTGTATTCAAACCCTGAGGTGTGTTAATTATCGAACAAAAGAACAACTATTAGTCCAGCTGCTTACTCAAGTAGCAAGAAGGAAAATGAACGTGAATTGTTTTCTCTAATCAATAAGGAGGAAGTGCTTTTAGAATAAACAAAATTAAAAAGTTTAAATCATAATAATGTGCTATCAGCTGTATATAATTGGTGCCATGTTTGCCAGTCTTTAATCTTGATTTATGAATTTCAGATTTATATATTTATTTATATTTTTCTTTATTAATTTAAGAGGATGGTTTGGAAGAGTTAGTTGAAGAACTTAATGACGGCAAGATTTTGTACGCTGGGATAAAAGTTATTGACCCCAACACAAACCTGCCAAAGATTGTCTTTATAAACTGGGTTGGTACTTAGATTATTATATATTCATATCTCTAGTCAATATTTAGACAGAGATTGTTTCAAGTAACCTCTGGGCAGCTCTAATAAGTCAGGGCCTGGCTGACTTACAGATCAAACCTTGAAACAATCTCTGGGCAGATCTAAGTCAGGGCATGGCTAACTTACAGATCAAACCTTGAAACAATCACTGGGCAGATCTAAGTCAGGGCATGGCTGACTTACAGATCAAACCTTGAAACAACCTCTGGGCAGATCTAAGTCAGGGCCTGGCTAAGTTGCAGATTAAACCATGAAGCAACAGTTGAACAGGAATTGAGCATTCATGTTGGGTTTTGTGCAGGAGGAAAATCATGATAACACATGCTTTTAATTATCCTTGAGTATCCTTTATATCGTAATAATTCTTTGAACCTTAATTTACCTTAAATAGTTTGTATTTATATATTTTTCCTGTTGATAGCAAGGTGAAGGTGTTCCATCATCAAGAAAGGGATCATGCGCAAATCATGTCAGAGATATTGAAAATCTTTTCAGGGTAAAAACAATGCTATTTAACCTGCTTTTTGCCGTTACTATGTCACAACAAGTCGTTCTCATTTCACCACAGGGAGCCCATGTTATAATTAATGCAAGAAATGAAGATGACGTTGATGAATCTGTCATTTTAGAGAAAGTGAAGAAAGCCTCAGGTAAAACAAGTCATTAATCCATTAAGATAAATATCAAAATTTTGTCTTAAATTTAAAGTCATTCTTAAACTTGTATTGAAGGTCTACTTATATGATAGTATTTGTACAAAACACTTTTGTGGATTGTCTACTAGGATAAGCTTTTCCATTCATCTTATTTATCTTATTCACGTTATGAACTCATGCAGTGTCGTGAACCTTTAACAAGCTTTTATGTTAAACTTTACTCATTTTTTGTTATATTGTTTCCCAAAGGCAAAATATCTACAGTAACTGTGTACAATGACTGATACATAGTAATGACAATATCCTTCTTGCTTTCATTTTCCAAGGTGCTGCATACAGTGCTCACAAAGAGAAGCCACAAAAAGCTGAGCCAATCTTACCTGTGGTAAATGTTACCTTAAATTATTCAGGCTTTGTCTGTTCTGCTTGATATCCACTTCTAATGACGTCACCAAACTAGGGTTTCGATGGCCAGATGAATTAACTTTGTATTGTTCTTCCATTCTTTTAGGGTTCTGTGTACAAAAGAACTAATGTTACCAAAGAGATTGATGTCACAAAACGAGACAAGTTCTGGAGTGTAGAAGAGGTATGGAAAATTCATGTTAAAAATATGAAACAGTTTTCTCTTTTAGATGCTCTGATCTAAACACGTGGGATGCTGAGAAAACAAGATAGAAGTGTAGGAAACCATGACACATAGCTGAGTACCAGCTTCTCGAGTGTTCTCTCAGCATATATCCCAAGTGTTTAGATTATAAGGTATTTAGATTTTGGATCATAAGCTATTTGAATTTTAAATGCTAATATTCATTACTTGGTAAAAAGAAAAAAGAACAAGAAAGAGTTGAAGTTGAAAAGAAGAAGCAACTTCAAGCAAGAGAAGAAGCAGAAAGAAAACGAAAGGAACGAGAGGTAAGTTTTCATGCCCAACATTTTTGATGATGGATTTTAATCAACTATGAAGATGAACCCTTTGCAAGGTTTACCTCTAATTTAAGATTTTATTTGAACTCAAAATTTTAAACTCTAAAACTCATAAAACTCTAGACAAAATTGATTGATGTATTCTTGGGGATGAATATTGCAAAATTTTCAGGCCAAAGAGGCAGAAAGACGAGAAGTACAATACAGAGAACGGTCCAAGAGCATTGAAGAACAGAGGTAAGGTGTCAGTTAATAGAGACCTTTTGCACAGCATTCTTTTAGTTACCGCAAACTTCAAAACTGCAGTTCGACATCAGGCATTTTACATCAAACTTTTGACATTTAACAAGACGTCATAACGAAGTTGTTGCTGGAAGAGGCACCATATTGAATTTCATTGATGCTGAATGTTTCTGCATATTTGTTGTCATGTTTCTGGGTCTGATTCCTAGCGGTTAGCAGTTGGTGGGGACTGACATGGAAAAAAAATCTACTGAGTTATGAGAGAAAAGAGGGACTGTTAACAGTCTACAATATATTTTGATTATTTTATCTTGCAGGAAGCATGCAAGGGAATTAGAAGAGAAAAAGAAGGAAGAAGAAAGACAACGCTGGGTGAGAACTCCAGAATTTGTCCATTTTCTTCTTTAAACCAGAAAGCTTAATTACTGAGATTCGGGGGGGGGGGGGTTTTTTTTTTTTTTTTTTTTTTTTTAATGTTTTTGCAAATTATTGGATAAATGGTCTTTTTTTTAAATAGGAAAGTCAACAGGCTGAAGATGAATCACAAGAAAGAGAACAAAAGGCTCGTGCAGATTCACTCAGAAAAGAAAGAATGAAGGTAATAATTACCAGCTTTTTTTTAATTGATAGTGAAAAAATGAAAAGACGACATGTGTCCTATTTACTTCCTACTTCCGTGTCTAATTTGGTTTAACTGACCTTTTTTGCAAAATTCAAACAAATGCAATCTTACAGGAAGTGGTTTACAGGCAAGGGATGGGTTACTCTTTGCTACAACTCCTATAAATGAAATCCGGAAAATCCTCAAACAGAAAATCAAATCACAGAAATGACTGTACTGTCTGTTTGCATGTATGCTAAAGAACGTATTTATATGTATGGAAATAGTAACTATGAACACACAGCATCAAGCATTTCAAACAGGCTTCTGAGGGGGTGGGGTATTTGTCCGTGCCCATCACCTAAATCAATAAAACTGGGTCCCTATTTTAGTCCAGTGATTTGACCTTGTTTGCTAATTCTTTCTTAGGAAGCGGAGTCTTTAATTGCCAAAGGAAAAGCAGAAAAACCAACATTTGAGGAAAGAAAAGCTCCTCCCCCAGCACCACTGCCTAAAAAGAAGCCTCCTACAGCGTTACCCCAGAAAAGACCAGCAGCAGCACCGCCGCAGCCAAAGCCCAAACGAGAACCGGAACCGGAACCGGAGCCAGAACCGGAGCAAGAACGGGAACTGGAACCAGAACCAGAACCAGAACCAGTGCCAGTACAAGCACCAATAATTCCAGTTCCAAAACGCCAGCCAGACTCAGACGAGGAGCCTGAGGAAGAAGACTGGGGAGAGGAACCTACACAGCAAGAAATTCCCCATACTGCAGCCGAGGTAGTTTTGTTGAGCTGGTATTGGTGTTTCAGCACGTACACATATGATAGAGAGAAGAAGAGAGAAGGGGAAGAGGAATAAAATAATAGATGAATGAAGAGAGAGAAGGAAAGGAGGAATAGATGAATGGAAAGAATCATATATTTTAGTTTCCGAGTTTTATGGACTCATGCAACGATTGCAAGTTGATCCTTGATGTTAGACGAATGTTAGTTGCTCTTAGGCCTGCTTGGTTTTGTTTTAACTAAAGTTGTTTTATATTTGTATGTGTTTGTTATCACATTCTTAATTGCGCAAAACTTAATAAATAGCATATTGTCTGCAGCCTGATGACGCATATGAAGAAGTCCCGGAACCTGTTACTCAAGCAAATCAACGAAGAGCACCACCGGAACMGGAAGAAGATGACAACTACGAGTCAGTTGATATCAGTGTTTCAGCTCCATCACAACCCGAGGAACCAGAAGACCTTTATGAAAATGTAGCAGAGGCAAAGGCACCAGCGGTAGGACTTGTTACCATAGTAATAGAGTTGCTCGGGGACCAGTCACGTGACCTTCACGGATTCATTACTTTAGTAATATTGTAAGAATTAGTTGTATGTATGCTGTTTAATGATAGGCGATAAAATTACCATTGATCGCTTGCATATCGGTCTATGAATAAGTTTCATGGCCCAAAATGGCGAGAAATGACCACGTGACATATGAGTCATCTGTTGCCTTGCCAACAATGATCCGAGTGCTGTTGAATCATGCTTGTATGTCTGGTTTTAGCCTGCAGGTGACACGGGTGTTTCAGCGAGAGCCCTATACGACTATCAAGCAGGTTAGTACTTAGAAGGCTAGTAAAAACTTGAGTTAAGAAACAGCCTTCATGGTATCACCTATTCATTCTATTTTCTTTTTTCCATAGAAACTGAGGAAGAACTTACTTTCGACCCTGGTGACGTCATTACGAATATCGAACAGATTGACGAAGGGTGGTGGAGTGGGACTGGGCCTAATGGTAGTTATGGCATGTTTCCCGCCAATTATGTGGAGTTGATTGGTGAAGGATCTCAGGTATGTCAAATCAGTCCTTTATTGTTTGCCTTGGCATTCTAGTGGCTTCCCAAGCGCCTCTTCCGGTAGTGGAATTATTTTTCTGAATCTTGATACTTCGTCAGTAGTGACGATAGTACCCCTGATCAAAATACTGTTGGGGGGGGGGGGGGTGGAGAAAACAGAAAAACCGAAAAAAAGTTCAATAGAAACACATTCAGTGTTTGTACTCTTTTATCATATTACAGCCAGAAGCAACAGCACCAATGCAACCAAGTGGTGATGCGGGAGGCGTAAGTGCTCGTGCATTGTACGACTACCAAGCTAGTAAGTAGAACCACTACCAGTATTTTATTTTATTAGGATAAAGTCAACAGCAAAAATTATCGGCGAAGAACAATTTTGCACGATTACTTGCACTAACGACAATGTTGCCCGCAATTTGAATAACTTTATCGCGCAACTCGCAAGAATTCATGTTGGAAATGCCCACACTCCCGAGATAAATTTCATTTCTTTTTTCTTCCGATTTTCATTTTCTCATTTTGCATAATGTGTCATTTTCAGCTGATGATTCCGAGATAACCTTTGACCCTGGTGACATCATCGTAGACATAGAACAAATCGATGAAGGATGGTGGAAGGGTACTGGCCCGGACGGTCGCAACGGAATGTTTCCGGCAAACTATGTCGAGCTTTTGTCTTAGAATCAAGGCATAGTATTAACGATTAAGACCTTGACATAATGACTTAAATATTGAGCGCGCAATCCACTGGTATTTTTGCTGTCTGGTTCATCCACTTCAGTTTTAAAAAACTATATATTTCATTAAAAGACTGCAAGTATATTTTCGCGGTAACAAAAAGTTTAGAAAAATGAATAGATTCAAAAGAACAGATTCAAAGCGAGAAAATTCGCTAGAGAAGGGAAAAACGAATGCCTTAGTTGTTGAATTTTCGTTATGATTCTTCTGGACAAAGAGTCTGTTTTGGGTCAACTTGCTCAAAGATAGGAACAAAACAAAAAAACTTTGACGGGAATTCTCAACTTTCACATCCCCATAATACTTTGCGTCTTTGGGGAGTAACCAGAGGGTAAAAACCTACTTATTTTGCTGAAGGCTCATCAGACAATGTTGACCATACCTTGTTTGGTATCCAAAAATAAAATGAAGAAGTAAAAAACAGAAAAAGATAGAAGCTTGAAGACGTTTAAGGTAGACTTTGAACATTTTTTCGTAAGTCAATACATTTTCTTTAAGACCAAAACTCTTGATGATCTGTACACGCGAAAATAACTTGGAAGAAACTGATAATCAGTATTGTACAGATAAAAGCAGGTATAGTATAAATTCAATTAAGAAACCTTTCAATTTGGGACAGTTTTTTGATTAGTTACCCACCAAAGACGCAGGCCATTATGGGGATGTGAATCAAAGTAGGGAATGAAATTATTTGCGCGTAAAATCAAACCACAACAAATTATCAACTAAAAACAAAATTCTGTCTTCTTGATGGTCACAGTTACTTTTGCACCACTGATCATGTATTTTACTCTGAATTTTCGTAATAAACTAATTAATGTGAAATAATTTAATTTGTATGTATTGTTTTATTATTTATCCAACACTAAATTTTCTTGAAGACTTAGAAAGACTTGACAATGCATTTAAAGGAATCTAAGAGAAGTTCTTGCAATATTTATTGTATTCAAGTTTCAGTTGCGATCCAATATGGTGGAAGTTAATCACGTGATCAGTTCATCATCCCTTCAAATGCTCCATCACGTGATCAACTCTTATCTTTAGTCGCGTTTTGTATCTTTTCATGAAATTTTCCGGGACAAGACTCTTGCAAGCAGCCTTCAAGTCGTCAAACTGTACACAACTTCGATAATGGAATACGAGTGCTTTCTTGGGATCTATTGATGATTTTTCGTACTTCGCGGATGAAGACTTCACAATGTAATGAATAGACATCTCGAATACTTTCCTCGGGCTCACAATGCATTTTTCCCTGGACTTATGAAATAACTTTTTTGTCCTGTAGAAAATACTTTGAGTTATTAAAGATTCATTTGCTTGAACTTTCTCTTGCGAATTTAGAGGGAAGACAGTGCTCTGAACAGAAAACCCACTGGATTGGCCAGAATCAATCTCGTTCAAAAGCAGGGGTAACGTTGGGTGTACTAATGGCACAATAAATTCATCCAGATCATGAAATCCAACCCATCTTGATCTACCGCGGTTTCTGTACAAACAATCGTGGATAGCAACAAACTGACCATGATAATGTATGCTATAGAAGTCTCGGACATATACAGGTAAATTCCAAGGAAGAAGTGTCACTGCTCCTTGGCTCTGATAAATATTTATCGCATGTCTGATCGCTGGGTTTAACTTTAGGTCGTAAAAGACAAAGTGCGTTGCTCCGAAAATGCGATTCAGTTCTATGAACTCAATAAATTTGGCCATAGGGATACTTCCATATAAGGGAGGCACGCAAATGGTGTAGTTGTGGATATGTGGAGTATCATTAGTGGATTGGACAGGATATCGAGTTACTTCGGTCATCTTGTCGTCATACTCCGCTGATATGTCAATGAATCCAGGTTCTCTCCCCAGTCCCCTGGGAAAAGTACACGACACAATAAATGCAGCATGGCGCCTGCTTTTATGGTCTTTAACAAGATGAAAAACCGCTTCTTCAGTTTGAGCCAGGTCACATCTCGAGTGACAGAGTATACGAGGAGGTCGGAAGGTTTCTGATATAGCAATGATACGAACGAAAGGACTGTTAGGGTCAGTATCGTCGTAGAAAGCTGAATAAATTATCGTGCCAGGTACTATTTCTTTGAAGCCTGACCACTTGCTCGTGGCATTCACTTGCTGCAGCAAAGAACAATTCTTGCTATACAGAGATGTTTCTAGATCCTTCACTCTCTTAGAGTCTTGAGTTCTAAGCCATTTTTTTGATTTTGAATGGGGGGAAAAGGTGAACATTATCCATACTGAAATAACCATCAAGAGTAAAAAAGAAAAGAAAAACTTCCATAGCTTGCACAGTGTTGATGTTGGTGTCGATGTAACTTTTGCTTGAGGATGGTCGTCTTGATGCTCGAGGAGTAACTCATTTTCTTCTAACATGCTTTTGAGTCCGTTCTTAAATTCATAACACACGGGCTTGTATTAAAATCTTTGGAATAAATCCTGTGAATGTGTTCTTTAATATCTGTAATAGTCAACTCACGAAGATGTGAATCCGATGTAGCACTATTCGGGAACTGTGATCGTTCCAAACTCAACTGCACCAGTGAAACTGCACCAGCGAAACTCACTCGTGTCTTCAAAATTTCTTCCTACGAAGACAGTCTTGAAATATCTTCAATTCCTTTTGAAAAAGAACAAAGTTTTATCAAACTCTAAGCAATTTTCAAGCTTTGTTGTATTCTTGAACTCCATCAAGTGGAACAGCCACCTTAATTTATGCTAATTGCATTACTTTGCAGGTTGGGCTACCTTTGTATTTTCTCTACAACAATAACAGAGTTCCAAGATGGCGGCTCCCTGCTCTCATTATGTTCGTAAGTGCTCCCTCATTGCACCGTGTTGTAATAAAATCTACCCCTGTAGATTTTGCCACGACAGCGCAGAAGACCACGAACTAAATAGAAAACTTGTCAACCAAGTGAAATGCCGCCAATGTGGACTTACACAAGGAATTGAATCAAATTGTTTGGAATGTAAGATAAGATTCGGCTTTTACTTTTGCAAAGAATGTCGACTGTACGATGACAGCGATAAAGGACAATTTCACTGCCAACTGTGTGGAATTTGCCGAGTTGGAGGAAAGGACAATTACTTCCACTGTATGAAGTGCGATATTTGTATTCCTGTAGCTCGGAAAGAGTCTAACCACAAGTGTGTGGAAAGTGCTGCTCGTTCAAACTGCATGATTTGCCTGGATGATTTACACTCTTCTCGTGAACCTTGTCAAGTTTTACGATGTGGACATTTCCTGCATCAAGGTTGCTTACAGGAATGTTTGAAAGCTGCCATTAGGAGGTGTCCGTTGTGTAACCAATCCATGTTTTAAGGATTAAGAATGAAGTCGTAGTGTCGTCGAAATACGACTGGAAAGTAAATGGAAATGAAATAATGGAAAATGGAGCAATGACACATGCTTTAGAGACTAGTATATCGTGAACTTATAAATATATTAATCTTTTTGCTTTCAATTGAAAATAATAATTCTATTCTATTCTATTTTTCTTAACCAGTGAAACAAAAATGACTCGATAATGTGTAATAGTCAATGACACAAAAGAAAACAATGAAAATAAGCTCTACCAACCTCAATGAGCTATTAATCTATAATAAACTATTTCACAGAAGGAAGCAAAAATCTATGCACCGCAAAGATACATTAATTTATCTTTGTATTTTCTTCTACTGCACAATGTATATTATTATTATCAAGTGCATTATATATTCATTGGGTACAGGACATATAGTGATGATGTAAGGATGACATCACAAAATAAATACACATATTTTGCTAATGTCATCTGGCATAGAGCCTATGATGCCACTGCCAATCATACCAAGTATTTGCCTTGACTAAGTAAAACATTTGGGATGGGATGGAATTTGTACTTTAAGAGTTGTAATTTATAAATATGTTTAATAGAAATAAAAACTTATTTTTATATCTAGTGTTTCCAAATGATTAGTTAAATATTATGGTAGTAATGAAGATGGCATGGCATTGATTGCCGCCACCACCACCACCACAACCTGACCACAACCACTACTATTAGCAACAACACCAAGATGATATCATTTGGTGGTCAAAATTGTAGTAAGTTATCATGATTTGATTTGGTAGTGTGATAGTGTTGTTGGTTATTGTGGAGATGACGTTGGTTGGTAGCGAACAAGGTAATGATCAGTGGTGAAGGTGATGATGTTGATGGTAAAGATGATGATGATATTGGAGGTGATGGTGGTGATTAAGTGATGTTAGTAGTGGTGAACAAGGTAATGGTGTTGATCAATTAATGATGTTGGTGAAGGTGATGATGGTGGTAGTTATGAAGGTGATTGTGATGTTGATGGTAAAGGTGATGATGTTGTTAGTGGAAGTGGTGAAGGTGATTATGATGTTAGTGGCAGTGGTGAAGGTGATGATGGTGTTGGTTATGTTAAGGTTGGAGGGTGATGAGGTTGGTGGTGGTATTCAAAGCAAAGGTGATGGTGCTGAAGGTGAAGGTGAGCTGTTATGGTGGTGGTGGTATGAAGGTGGTGATGGTGATGATCTTGGTGGTGGTGGTAATAGGGATGGTGATGGTGAAGAAGATGGTGGTGATGTTGGTGGTAGTATTCAAAGTGAAGATAATGATCTTGGTGGTGGTGGTAATAGGGATGGTGATGGTGAAGAAGATGGTGGTGATGATGTTGGTGGTAGTATTCAAAGTGAAGATAATAATCTTGGTGATGGTGGTAATGGGGATAATGATGTTGTTTGTGGTGGTGTTGAAAGTGGTGTTGGTGTTGGTAGTGATAAAGGGTGATGATGATGATGCTGGTAGTGATGGTGAAAGTGATGATGTTGATTTGGTGGTCGTGATTATGATGGTGTTGGTGTTGGTGATCAACGTGAAGGTGGTGAAGTTGAGGATGGCAAAATAAAGGCAAGGTGATACAAGGATTGGTTTAATGGAAGTGCAGATGAATCGGAATCCTACTTATAACCACATTTTTACTTTATCAACTCTGCTTTCAGAGAGCCAAATGCTTGAAAGATGGAAGTGGTAACATAACGTGAGAACAAATGAAATTTGGTTCAACCAACAACAAGTTAGGTACTCAGGTACAAGTTAGGTACTCATGTACATGTACTCCCACGTAAAAAGGGCGAGAATGATCGTCGGGAAAAAAATACAATTAACCCTCTAAAAGAGAGCGACTGTTTCAACATGGCCTTGGTTTAATTTTAGCCCTAAAAGATAAATCCACTTCGAAGCACAAGATAAATCATGTAAGCCAAACATTTTTGAGACGTGCTAAAAACCAACTTTTTCTTTTTCACATGTAACGGGGGGTGAATTACGATACAAACCCCCAAAAAGATACGAAGTTACGTTATATGAATCCCCATCTCTCCCGGATTCAAGCAGTACTTTCTTTGTCTTTGCATGGTCCATTTCGTGATGACTAAATGGAAGTAATTCACCATACTTTAGCTAGTGAACCACAAAAGGATATTTTGAAATACCAATAGAGGCCATGACGTTGATTCCAGACAGAATATATGAAGTACGCAGGTGTGAAACCACGATTCTCATTTTCAACTACCATCCTATCTTTATAAAGACAATGTCATCAAAGCATATTAATATTACTGTCCATGGTTCCAGACGAAGCAAACCAGTCAACTAAAACGGAATCGAGTCCAACAAAAATGTTAGTAGAAAATGGCCTCTTGGACTTCAAGATTGCCATGGAACGACAGGCAAGCAAGGCAGAGTCCCAAGAAAGTGACTTTGTCGACAGGACAGCAGATGGCTTCTCACTTTACCAAAACCCTTCAGAATATAACCCCAGAAAATGGCGTTTCCCAACAAGAGAAAAGGAAACTGCACCCACTAAATATAGATTGGAATGATGATCAAAGTAATCAGTTGAAAGAGCGTAAACGTCACGAGGGGTACGTCAATCCTAGAGGTTTTGAAGCAACTAGAGTATCCAATTTGAGTTGGAAAAGGTGGCGAAGAAGACAAAATCATGCTGAAGGTGTCGATGATCAAGTTGACGAATTCTCTTGGCAAGAAACACCTAATTTAAAGTTGTTTGCATCTGCAAAGCCACTTTGCAACGTACGCAAAATAATTAGCCAAGAAATGAATAAAACTAGTTACTTAAGCAATACGAGACTAAAAACTAGTTACTTTAGCAATACCAGACCACGAGCACTGAAACACAAAGTGAGAACTTCGAGTATTTCTCAGACAAAAGATGTGAAGTGCGACTCAAGAGAAAGCATTTATAGTGATGCACCGAGGAAAGAATTGAAGACAGTGGCAAAGTTAGACAAGGTGAGGTCATACGTATCAGTCTTCCCTCGAGAACCTCGTAGTTTTCTTGCCACTTATCAGAGGCAAGTTGATCACGGTAAAGTTCCTAAATAGGATGTCCGTTTTCACCAGGAATTGCGTGTGGCGGGAAAACGTCACGTGATGAATATGGTGGCGGATATGTCAATCACGGTTTATAGATACTGTGCAAGTTACAAGTGTCTGAAAATTTCTTAATTCTAGTTCAAGCACGATTTTTTGATTGGAATAAAGAGCTCGGCTTCTGTATAAGACGCCGAGTTCTTCAGAAAATAGAATTCTTTATTGATAGAGAAGGTGTAACTTACACATTTTCATTTAAACATTAGGCGCCAAACACGGGTTCTTCCAGGGGAAATATAAACATAAGTCGTGCTGGTAAATTTTTCTCCAGCCCGTACATTAAAATGGTTAGAAGAAAACTATCGAGCACAGGATGATTTGTTAAAGAGAATCGACAAGAGCAAACAAGGTGGTTTGTCGTATGACGAGTTTGTACAAGAACTGGTCGACATGGGTAAGTGCACCACGTCACTCAGTAACTATAGTAACACGACATAGTTTTCAGGCTGTGGGAATTCCTTTGAGCCTCTCTAATTCTTCCATTACGGAGATTATATTAATTACATGTAACTGTATCCAGAGTCACAAAAAGATTTCAAATTTTTTAAATAGAAACCAAAGGCTCGTTGCTTTGGTATTTTTGATTTGATCGCCAGGAAAGCTATTCGAAAGACTTCTGGCGCTGAATACACTATCGTAGTAACGCCTTTAGGTGTTTAATAATATATTATTTTAGACCTTAATGAAGGACTCAATTGCAAAACATCTCATTGAAACAAAACGTAAACGAACTCCAATAACACAGGTGTTTTTAGAAAGAAGGCGACTCAATAGAAAAATCTACAAATTATTGTCCAATAAAAAATCCTAACTTAAATAACACGTCTGATTAGTCAAAATATAGTACAATAATATACCACGAAGTTCGAGTTTTCTTACTAATGAAGGGATAAAAAAAAGAGGTTCTAAAAAAATCAGCAAGAGAAATAGGTAATGAGGAGTTGCGGACAGACAAGAATAACCGAGGTTTGTGAAAAACGCGAGATTTCTAAAAAAATTATTTATTGATGAAATGTAAAGAAAGAAAAATATTTAAAATAAGGCATTTCTATAGAATAAAAACTGAGCTTGGGAGTGAATGCATATCGCAGTCAGTGTCAAGCAGGCGAGCACATGTTTTTTTCGACATTTCTTGAAGAATTTCATAATTAACTTTTTATAGACTTTATCCAAAATACTTGAGTTTTACATATATTTCTTTTAGTGTTTCTAAGTGTAAAACATTTTCCATATCATTTTTTTCGTAGTAATTCAATTCACGAGTGAAGTATGTTTTTTCCAGGAGCTCCAGGTAGCCAGGACGAGTTGTACAACATGGCATTCGCGTTAGACACCAGCGAAGACCAGTCGATAGACTACCAAGAAGTGAAGAAACTGAAGCAACGGTTCAGGGCCAGTTCATTTGTCAATAATAATGAATTCATGCACTATAGAAATGAGAGTTTACCTGAACTACGGCCATGTTCGAAGTGTAAAATTGGGTTATTTGAACCGATTCGAACAAGAATCCACAGGTAGAAAACAAAGATTAATTATTTCTTAGTTTGCATTGGATTTAGTATAAGTAATTGCAAAATGTACATGAAGTTTTTGCTTTAATACTTACCCTCCCGTCCCTCATAAGTTTTTTTTGAGGACTGAACGGGGGGGGGTTTGAGAGAGTTTTAGACTGTAGCTGCTACTACCAACTTTGAGAACAAATTCCACGGAGAACATCCCCGTAACAATTTTGAAAATATTTACTTTGCTTACCAGAACCGTTTACCCCATTGTTCCGACGTAAAGCGCAATCTTTTAAATACCAATTATTTATCTTTTCAGATAAATAATAAATAATATTTTATATTGAATTTTTCAGATTCATTAGCTTGGTGCTGAAAAACTTCATCATCAAAGGAACACAAAAGAACTCGCTGATTGGTCAATTCACATTTAACGTCGGACCGGATATCTCCATATATGGCATACAGCGGATGGTTAAAGCTGAATTAGGGGGATTGGCTATAGGTGTACGAATACTAAGAGGCAACCGGAAAGTCGAAGTTCTCGATCACATGAAGACCCTAGAGGATTACGGGTACAGAGGAAGTACGGTTAGGGACCGACCGGAAGTTGTCGAACTGTTCTATGATTATGATTTTCCTAAGTTAGATTGCCCACTTCTTCTTGCACACACATCCAAGTAGTTTCAAATAATTGGGCTCTGATGTCTTTCTTCGCGCGTGCTCGAACGAAGGACGAATGGCGCATGTATTTTGACATGCGCAGTACAAATAACAGGGATCTGCAGTCGAGTTGCAGTCGAGAGTTGCTCGATTCGAAAAGTCTTATCGGCTGTGGTTGTCGTGCGAAACTTTCACAGAAAAAAGTTGCGCTAGCATTAGATATATATATATATTTTAGAGTAAACAAAAAAATAAAATAAAATAAAAACCTTTAAATAATTCAGAACCTTGGGAAAGAATTGAACCCTTTGATGAATAGAAACAGGAAAATGTGGCCGGGAAGTGAATGTAAATTCAATTGAAATAATTCCCACATAAGATAAAGTAAAGAATCGTATCATTTTAAGACTAGATTCTGCTATTAATATCTAAATGATTAATGTACCTAGACTAGACCTGATATCTCTACCACTCTAACACTGTGATCTGAGCCACAACTGCCAAGGTACAGAGGAACATCTTGGTCTACGTCCTTCCTTGGTCGCCATCTTATTCTCTTGACTGTTAATACTGGACATAAACTGTTAATAATAAAAAACATTAGCAGTTGTTCTATAAAAATATCTATTGGAAAGACCTCTTTAGATTGGGCGTAATGTTTTTCCATTTCAGACCACGTGTCATTCTCTTGAGAATAAGATTCTTTGTTTAAGCTCTATCCATATTCATGTGTCTTCTCATGCCCAACTGTTAAACAAAGAAATGATACTCTACACTGGTCCGAAATGGGAAAACATTTCGCCCAAGGTAAAGAGGTCTATTTTGCAAATGTTCCCGCGGTTTATATCACTACTAACCCAAACAACACTAACACTACATTCACCCAAACACTCAAACGACAAAGAACCTCAACAATAACGAAATTGTGTTTTTAAAAGCACATCAATGGCATATATGGGAAAGTAACGTATTCATTACCTTTGGTCTAAATGAGTTATAGTCGTCCACCGCTCACTTGAAGACCACGTATGAAGAGATATCCGACCAGACTCTGTACCAACAGCTATTAAATACCTGGCAAGATAATCACATAGATAATCTCTAAATTTGAAATATTATCTGAATGATCGGTGATAATCTATTTGCCTCTGAGAAGTTCATGAGGAGGCTGGTAACGACCTCGCGTTGCTAAGGATTGTGGGCCGGAATAAAGGAATCGAGGTAGGTACATGTAGCAGTATTGCGTTTGCATTTCATCTTTGGGGTCTGGGGTTCAATTCCCATACAAGATTTGATGTCCGACCCAGCATCAAGTAGCATTTGTGAGGTTACTCCTATGATTCGAGGGTTTTTCTACGTGTTCTCCTGAGTTAGCCATGCGTGGACTTTAATCAGCCCAGGAGTTATTTCAGGGTTCCTTCTGTGAGTTAGCCGTACGCTAATTTTGATCAGCCCAGAGTACTGATAGAATTTAAAGGAATATTAAGACAAACTAAAAACCTTAACCATCTCGCTTCCTTAAATTCAGCCAAAAAATCGTAAGCAAAACAAGTTCATAACCGTTTCTTTTTTCATTTGAACTTTCGAAAAAATATAACCAGTGTGCAAGTATGGCGATGAAGCTGTCGAGATGAGAAAGAAACATTGTCTTGCTTCATTAGTATTGATATTAAAAAGATACAAGTACAAGTACCTTGAATTTTTCACAGTTATTGGTGCCATGTCAACAGCTGTAGCTGGTTCTCCGACATCAAGAGGACTCGAGGCAGGGGACCAGTTTTCTTTATCATTTATCGTATCGCCATGGCAACCCCACATGAAGACCTGCAAATAAACAATTCTTGAAATAAGAAAAAAGAAAAAGGGAAGGAAGGAAGGTAGAAGAAGAAGGGATGGAGAAGAAGGGAGGGTGAGAGAAAGGAGAAAATGGAAAAAAGAAAACAAAATATTTCTAATGGATGGATAAAAAATGGGAACAATGAAAAAGTGCATTTACAGTACATGTATTTTATGCTTCCAAAGGACAGAAATACAAAAATTGCAGTCGAAAAAACAAAGTGGTACCTTTTTGTCTCTTGATGCTGTTGTAAAATATTTATCATCATGTGACCATGAACATGACCAGATAATCCGACTATGTTGGTCATTCTTTTTTAACGAGGAACTGTGTGAAGCGAGGGAAAACAGAGGACCTGAGAAAGGAATAGGAAAATCAGATCACAAAACGAGAAGTACAAAGAATGAGGGAAGGAGAGAGGAAAGAAGGTAGGAAGAAAGGAAGGAAGGAAGAAGGGAGGAAGGAGGGAGAGTTAGGGAAGAAGGAAAATATCGAGGAATGAAGGTGCGAAAGAGGAATGGAGGTCCGGTAGAGGGAGGGAGGGAGAGAGAGGTAGGAAAGGAGGGAAAAAGGGAAGGAGGAAGAGAAGGTTAGCAATAACCACTTACCATTTTCTTGATCCACTTTTCTTTTAAACATGGCCCAGCTCCTGTCACGTGATACAGTGACAAGGCGCGTACCAGAATGACTGAAGGCCATCTGTGTTACAGTCAATGAGTGACCAGACAGTGAACAAACCTGACGCCATGTTTTAGTATCCCATAATATTGTACATGCATGCTCAGGCTTGGAGGCCTAKAACAAAAGTTCAAAATTTGTGACTTTGGATCTTGATGACACTGAGCCATGTTTATTCCAATGAGAATAAAAATCTTTGGTTAACCCTAGTAACCTCAGCCTGAAGTACTTGAGTTATTGATGATACAGAAGAAAATTTATTGTTCCAGTCAAGGATAAAAATGTAACAAGGAAGCAACAGTTGCGTAGTTGCTTGTTGGTTCTCTCCTGTGCTTTCAGGGTTTTTCTGCAGGTTCCCATTTATTTTTCATTTATTTATCTAACCCATGATAAGAAGTACTGGAAGTTTGGCTTTTACTAACCTTACATGCTGAAGCTAAGAAAGAGCCATCAGGGTTAGAAGCAACACAGAATATCTCAAACCCATGACCGTACCTGTAGTAAAATAACATATTTTAAATGGTTTTCATATGATAAAAGTAGGCAGAGAACAAACAGTATGACAAAGAAATGGCTTCCCTCCCAAAGGAAATACCACAAAAATTACGAGATGCAGGGGCCATGGAGCACCCTAAAAAGTGGGGGGGGCCTAGGATTGGAAAATGTATGAGACTAGTAGGGGAAAAGAGAAAACGTGGGGAGCTGTAGTGCCCTCTGCCCCATCCCCTCCTTGGCCCCTTAGATAACAAAATCCACTCACAATTTATGTGACTCTGGCCACAGAGTATTTTGAAGCAAAACGTCTTCTGTTGGAGGAACTGTCAATCAGGTAAAGTAATGCATTAGTCTTCTTCTTGCATGTTATTAGTTTGATGAAAGTTTTTTCTTCAAGATTTCAACAGCATCAATTGATTTTTGGCCCTTGATATTCAACCCCAACTTTGTCATTTTCTACATAAGGGGAGGGAGCAGGCAAAGCAGGGGAAAACAGTGCTGATTCTTACCATTTGAGACAAATATAAGTACCTTAAAATAACAAACCTAACCCTTTAAATTTTTTCCATTGTGTGGAGGGGAGAGGATGGGAAAGGAATGTGGTACTGAGTCTTACCATTAGAAATGACAGGAGAGAATGGTAGTGGTTCTTCGTTAGTGAATGCTGAGGCTCTCAGTGGCTGACCAGGGTCTTCAACTTCATTCTTTAAAGAATCCAAGTCACCTGTAAAGAACCATATTGATTAGAATTGGTCTATTATTTCAAATCTTATTCCCTACTCACAGGCTCTATTCAATTATTTGCTTAACTTACAATTCCGAAGATCTCAAGTTTCCATAGTGTTTCTTAATTAAGACAAATTTGTTTTCTCACAACGTTTAGGCAGCCTAACCCTTCTCACTCGTTTCACAAATGGGTTGAGTCCCACAGGATTGAGAAATGTGACCTTACCTTCAAAGACAGCTTTATTTGACAGTCCAAGTGCAGGAACACTGGCCCCAATAGGAAGATCGTCTGGTAACTGAGAAAAGAAAAGTCAGTTGAAGTCAGTACTTTGTACTTATGGCCAGAAGTCCAACCTTTAGATCCATTGTGTTTTACATACCTGATGGTCAGTACGCTTTATTGCACAAAGTGACTCAAGACTCTTAAGAAACTGACGAGGTGCCTTGAAAATTCTAACAACCTGAGAAAACGAAGATACAAAATGAAATAAAATTTTTTTCCACTTTTCCAGCCAAGAAGTTTGGATGTGCAGGCAAACTTATTTGTTTCAAAAAAATTTTTATTGTAGCTGTATATTGAGTTTTGTTAGTACCTTTTCATCAGCTCCAGATGCAAGGGTATGTCTGTTGATGAGTGTAAGGCACTGCATATCATATCCATGTACCTGTGGACGAGCTATCTCATGCCATGTAGTCTGTAATCAAAGAATAAATAATGATCAATACAACTACCTAACTCTGAGGAATAATATACTTAACACAGTTGGTAGAAAGGGTTGGCCGGAAAACTTTGTCCTGAGAGAAAACCTTCAAGACCGTATGCAAATACAATTACTTTTAAACAAAATACATCACTTAAAAGGGGGTCCATGGGCCATGGAAGGAATGGGTGCCCCACTTTTTCTCCTACTACTCTCAATCTTAGCCCCCCCTAACCTTTTCCATAATAGTCTCAATCTTAGCCCCCCCCCCTTTTTTAGGTTGGTCTGCCCAGCCCTAAATCCGCCCCTGTAACATACCTCAAAAATCATTTTATGTAAACATCTGTGTAAGTGAGGTTATAACAAATATACATGTACCTCTTTGCCCTCTCTGTGCCAGGGAGCATGGAGTCTTGTAGTTTGATCACTGCTGACACTCATTAAGAACTGCCCATCTTCAGGATCCCATATTATATCCTAGTACATAATATGAATATTGTTACTCTGGTTTATAAAAGTGTTTTTATGAAGGCCATCACACACTAACGACCATGATGTTACATGTGGGGACATGCAGAGGAGTTGTGTTTTGCATAAACTCAGGGACATACAGTAGGAACATGTGGGGACATGTGGACACATGTAGAGCATTGTGTCCTTGCAACAAATCAGTTTGTGAATAAACTACTTTCATTTAAACAGTCACTGCATACAACTTTATGTAAAGTAATGTTGGCAGCAGGGGTGGGAGTGATAGAGTGTGTAGGATACAGTATGTGTGATTTGCAATAATATTCTACCTGGACAGGACCAAAGTGCCCACTGACGGTTACTTGTGGCATCCACTTTCCCTCTTCCTGGAATAATAAATATAAGGTTGCAGTGAGCTAATACCTTATTCTGAAAAAAAGTATGTAGTATGAGCCTTGCGTTGCAATTAACGACGCACCTGACTGGTTGCAACATTACTCCATAAATGGAAAGCACCCTGGTAGCTATGCCCTAATATGGAATTACCATCAGGACTAAAGACACCACCATAGAAACCAAGAGTGGTGCCCCCAACACCTCCGACACGTACCTGGATAAAAAATGAAAATAATCAGTACAGTCAACTCTTGCTACGGCGGACCCCCTTAGGATCATTACTTTGTATTCATAATAGCAAACATCTGCAATAGCAATAGTTAATTAATTTCTTTGTCAGTATTTTTGGTCTGGGTTACAATACCAAGGAGTCTGTAATATTGAGGTGTCCACAAGGCAAAAGTGGAGGGAGGAAAACTGGCCAGAGAAAAACCTTCAAATCGAGGGAGTGACCCAACGAATTCTACTGACATGTGATGCTGGGTCCATGAATTGAGCCCCCAAGACCCCATGGGTGAGAGACAAGATCAATAATAATAATAATAATAATGTCTTTATTAAAGAAATGATAAAATACATATCATTAACATGATTATAATCATAAAACTAAAAACTGATTAAAAGATTACTAATTACTAAAGATTATTCTATTTACAAATGAGTTTTTAAAACGTTGAGAATTAACTCTAGGTCTAATAA